AAGAACATTTTTTTGGCATTAAATTCATTCTACGGAAGCACAGACCAGAGTCATTAACACCCCCACTAGATTAGGAAGGCAGGCAGAAATCAGCTATTTCTTGAGCATGTTTAGATTATCACAAACATTGCCGTTATCACCATGCAGTGATCTGGAATCACACAATGCCAAGTACAGCCATTATTTACAGGGGAGCATGGTTTTATTTGTTTTTATTTACTTCATTTATGCGCCACTTTCCCTCCCGGGGGTGGACTGAGGCAGCTTACGTTTTTCTCCTCTCTTCCAATTTTACCTTCACAAGAACCCTGTGATGTAGGTTAGGCTGAGAATGTATGACTGGCCCAAGGATAGCCAGTGGGACTTCCACGCCAAGGGAGCACGGGTCTCCTAGATCCTAGTCCATGCTCAGCTTCTTCTGGTGATGCTCACTGAGGTGGTACCTGCTTTATCAGAGCCGTCCCTACTATTTGGGTTCTCTGCCCATGTCGCCCACTGCTTGTGCTATGATAAAAGGTTAAGCTCTTGGCAATGGACAACCTATTATGGCATGTCTGCTCAACGCTGGACAGCCAGGGCACAGGGATGCTCTCTCCAAGAACCCTAGAGGTGCTGCTGGAAGTGTCAGCCCCGAGTGCACGCACAACAGCTGCCCTTCGAAAAGTGCAATTTGGGCAAGCTGGTTGTTATAGAAAAGTTCATTCCACGATGAGCGCTCTGCACGCATTAGGGCCAAATCCTTTCAAACCTACCAGGTCCTCCTTTTATCCCTCCAATCCCCGCTTTGCAGCTGTGAAACTACAATGCAGAACTCGGTGCGTAACAGGAACATTTTTTCTCTTCCTCCCGCCCCCATTCCTACTGAAGGAAAACCCATTTTGGTCACAATAACGGAAGCATCGTTAGTACGCCTTCCCCGGTGCAGACTGTCAACACTACTGGCAGGAGGCCATTTCCGGCTACAGAAAGCACCACAGCCAAAAGGCATCCAGCGCTGCCAGCTGAGTCTTCTTTTCAAGGGGTCCCTGGCTGCACCAGTTTTCAAAGCTTTGGGCAAGAGTGCCCTCCAAAGCTGTGGATCTGGGATCTTTATACACCACGCCATGCTGGCTTTATATATTTTAATCATTTTAACATTTAATGCTTCTCAATTAAAGTGATTTCCTGGAGTAGATGCCAGGCTTAGTTTGAATATGCATTAACCACTTTTGGTATCGGTAGTTAAAGGCACCAAAGGATTTAAACGGCAATCCAGAGGGCTGTTGGGGGAAATGGTTTGGCTGAATAAAGCAGATTATAAACAATAATATATGCCTTCCTCCCCCCCCTTTCTTTTCTTGGACATGCTCCAACCTCACAAATAGTCCTAAAGTGCTATAAACACATCCAGGCCTAAGCTGTGGGCTCTTCAAATGTACTCTGCAAAAAGCAGTGGGCACCACTGCTCGCCACTCTGCATCTGGGCACACAGCAGGCGTGTGTTATTTTGAGAGCGCCTTTTAGTACACAAGGTGTCTGTCAAAGAGAACTTTTTAAAAACATTAACGTGTCAAAAAAAGGATAACGATCAGCACAAAAGAATAAATAAATCCCGGCTTCTGGGCAAGGTGGCTGTTGTAGGCTAAGGGAATGCAGAGAGGTGACCGCTCTGTTCTTTAACTTCTGCCAATCCCTCCAAAGCACAGGTCCAAAACTGACGGCGGACTTCAAGGTTTCAGCACAAAGAGACAGCACAGGGAGGGGCCAACTGTGCAGCAGTGATCCATGTGCTTCTCAAGGCACTAAAGCACCCAAAGCAAACCACAACACTTTAGTTGCAGAAGTATTCAAATTAAAAAACATATATGTTTGGGATTAGTGTCCATGTGACACGTATTCCATTTTTTGGGAAGGGGTGGGGAGAAATAACAGGAGGAGACCAAACAGCATGCCTGCATTACAACTGACTGCTGTGCAGATGTGAACATCAGAAGAGCCCTGATGGACCACACCAGTAATCCATCCACACCCGCTTCACTCAGTGGCCAACCAGTTGCCCAGGAGGACCAACAAACAGGACACAGAGGGCGAAGCCTCCCTGTTGTTGCCTCCTAGCCCCGTTTTCCTGCCTCTGCAAATGAAGGTTCTCTTTACTCACCACAGCTGGGAGCCACTGATGGACCTAGCCTCCATGCGTCTGTCTCCCCCTCCCCGCTTTTTTAACATTATCTACGCTTGTGGCCATCACTAGGTCCACTGGCAGTGAACTCCACCATTCAACTACTTGTTGAGTAAAGTATTGTCTTTTGTCTGCCTTTAACCTAATGCCTATCAACCCCACTGGTGCCACCTGAGCATTCGTATTACAGGAGAGGAAGAACAAGCTCTGTCTATCCACTTTCTCCACCCCGTGTATAATTTTATAAACCTTTGTCATATCTCCCAACAGTCATCTTTTTCCTAAACAGATTCTTCAGCCTTCATTCATGAGAAAGGCGGTTCAAAACCTTCATCACCTCGCTTGCCCTCTTCTGTACTTTCCCCAGGTCTGTAATATCCTTTTTGAGATAGGGCGACCAGGACGGAACACAACATTTCAAATGAGGTCACACCACGGCTAGCTCTAGACAAAGGCACTACAGGATGGGCTGTTTTATTCTCAGCCCTTTTCCTAGAAATCCCCAGCATGTCGTTTGCCTCTTTTGCTGCTGCTGCACGCTTGGTCAACATTTCCATCGAGCTCTCTACTACAACCCTAAGATCTCTTTCAACCTCAGTCCCAGCTGGTTCAGACCCCATCATCATATATTTAAAGTCAGAATTTTCTGTTCCGGAATGTGCATGAGAAGAGGTCTGTTCTTCAAAGACTGACACCTGCTTGTGCTTGCCGCTCACATCTTCAGGACCACCTTCCTATACGTCCCCCGAACCTCTGAGACCACCTCTCCTGGTATGTTCCCTGAGCTCAGCTGAGAAAAATCTTCTGGAGATCCCTGGCCCAAGAGACGTCCAGCTGCCCTCAACCAGAGCCAGGGAGGGCGGTCTAAAAACTTCATCGTCATCATCACCACCACACAATTTTCAGTGCACTGCACAGCTCCAGAAAGAAACACAAAAAGATGTATGCAATTGCATAAAAAGCCCTAGGAGCAGTAAAAACATAACTGGGTTTACTCTGTCATCTTTGGACAGGCAGAATGGACAGAGGTAACATGTACAATAGCAAGAGAGGTGTGGCAAGGATGCTTCCTGGTCACTATGAAGGCTGGAAACAGATTAATTCGGAAGTCTGTTTTTGCCAGTGTTGACCCAAGCCAGTCACTAGCAAAATCTGCTGCTCTTCATAGCTATGCAACCTTACCCATGTAAACCACTTCTGGTAGCCGCTAAGCCGACACCTAGACATATTTAGGGGGTATATGATGCACTGCTGAAGAACCATGGCCCCGGGATTGGAGATAGAAGTAATAGATGTATACTCCTAGTACACCCTTGAGAACAGGACCTATATGCTCTAATCCAGGGGTGACAAACCTAAGGCCCATGGGCTGGAAGCGGCCCACCCAAGGTTTAAATCAGGCCCGTGGCTCTCTTCTCCACCCCCCACCCCCACCTGTCCTCACCCTTCCAAGCTGCCGAACTTCCCAGCTGGTTGGGCCTTTTCTTTGCAGTTTCTCCTCCAGCAGGAAGCCTCTCTGGGCTAAAACACAAAAAAAGCTGCAAAGAAAAAGCGGCATGGATTTTCCATTACGGTCTCTAGGCCCAGACAGACTACTCTGGGACTGGAACGGCAGCCCCCAGAGTGGAATGACGGTCCCTGGGAGTAGCAGCTGCATTCTGGGAATGGAATTCCACTCTGGGGGCTGTTATCGCAGTCCCAGAATGGAAAATCCATTCCGCATTTTCTTTGCAACTTTTTTTTGAGCTGCAATGTATTTCAATGAAGTGGAGTTTCAGTTTTCAGTGTTTGTATGCCAGCCAAATTTGTCCACTTGCAAATAAAGGGCTGATGTTTTGAGCCAGCTTGCCTCTGCTGGATGGACCAGAGAACAGGTGCCTGAGTAAATACTCTAGCCTGGCAACCCACAGCCAAAGGGGGACATTACACTGGAGAGCCACGGGCACTCTGAGTAGACGAGGGGGGGGAGAGCTTGCAATGCCCAGCCATTTCATGTTTTCCTAGGCTCAGAGCAGTTTTTATTTTTAGTTTCTGCTGTGAGCCTTGTGCTTTTTCTTGATGTTTTATTTTTTAAAACTGCATTGCCAAATCCCACTGTTCCCCCACCTTTCCATTTTAGGTGGTGGTGGGGGAAGTTTTGGGAAGTGTCAGTTATCAAAGACTTAAATAAAATATGGCAGGAGTGTTACTTTTTAAGCATGTTTGTATTTCTAGTTTTAAAAACCCCTTGAATTGTGTTTGTCAGTGTCCTTTATAAAGTTAATAACTCCGCTACCTGGCATTGCATTTTGTGACACACATAGCCAGGCCCGACAAAGATCCTATTTATATCAGATCCGGCCCTTGTAACAAATGAGTGTGATACCCCTGCTTTAATCTGTTGTGTGGGGCAGACCACCTCCCGGCTGCTGGTGGCTACTTCAAAGCCGCAGTGCACTTCCGCACTTCCAGAGAGAAACTCTACTTTCCTCTACTTCCCTTTTCTGCAGAACCACTTCATTCTATTTAACAGATTTGACATTGGAAGCTGCAGAACTCCTCAAACTATAATGGCAATCCAAAGCAAATGAACCCCAAGTTGTAAACCAGTAACTCTTTCTGCACCCTTTTCTGTACCCTCTGTTGTTAATGCTCAATTTCACCTCCCAAAGTTGCTTCAGACTTCGCAAGTTGTACTTATGGTTCTCAAGAGGTTTAAGTACTTCTGGAAGTAAGGTAGTAAAGTAAGAACTAGTGGGGACACTTGAAGTCATATTTCAATGTCTAGTGCAGGAACACATTGCTCTTTGTGCAACTAGTCTGATTTCACACTAGAAGAAGAAAAAGAACAACTGAGGGGGGGAAATTCTTCAACGTGTTTTATCGTGCAAGACGGTACTTTACAACAGAGAAAGAGGGACACACATCTGTTCTCACAGCGACTGAGTTAAACATAGCCACGGCTTCCCTGTTTTGCCATTCCCACCCTCCAGTGGCAAGAGAAGAGCTTGTCACCTTCACATCTTAGAAAAACACCCATAATTCCATTTCACAAGTGAGGGGAGGTGATGAGAGTGTCAGAGTCCTTTCTTCTACTGCTTACTGATTTTTGTTGGAGGAAGAGGTCATTTGTACATCGGCTGAACAATACCCTGCTGCCCACTTTATCCACCCCCTCCCTGCCAACAGCTACATTTTCCCTTCCCGCTAGGTAACTTGTGTTATACCAAAAAAAGCACATTTACTTGGAAAAGCAAACTCTGTGGGGCTTGCTCCTGAGTAGGCACACAGACTGCAGTCTCGATGTGGCTGCTCCTCCCCCTCAGCTTCCAGAATCATGATCGAAACGCCACAACGTGCAATACGGGTCTTATGTAGCACCAGGCCTATAAAAACTTGTGGTCCGTTTGACTGAATGCAGTCTGCCAGGCGTGCCGAGGGAGCCACTAGAAGCTCAAAGGAAAAAAAAGAAAACCTTCTGTTTCTGCTGCATCCCTGGAATTGGGGGGGGAGGTGTTCCTCAAGCACAAGGCAGGATATAATATATGGCTGAAAAGCTGCATTCGACCTGGTAGGCCACAAGGTACACGGGCCTGTGTCACATGTGTTCCATTGCCCCTTTCCCTCCTCCCAGAATAATATACAAGGTCCCCATCTCCATACATCATGCATACCAAAGAAGGTGGTTTGGAAGAAGGGCGGGGCTTATTGCAACGTGTGTCCGCTTTAAGAGTCCTGGGCTGGGCCCACGTGTGCTTCCTTGGCCTTTCGGGCTAAGCCTTCCTAGCGGAGTGCTTCTGAAGCATGAAGGTGATCGCTCTACAGTCCGTCACCTCCTCAGGGAGGTAGCCCTCCGTGTCCCGAATGGTAGGGTCAGCTCCAGACTTCAGCAGCAGCTCCACGATGTCAGAGAACTCACAGGTTGAGGCTAGAGAGAAAAGGGCAAAGCGAACACAGGTTACCATTGAACAGCAGCTGATGAGGGACGAGAAAATGTGAAAGCGGAGAAAGCCCAAGAGTACCTGGGACTTTGACTCTGGTATTTTGTGACTGCCTGGCAATCTTAGAAGTGGAACTGTTCTGCCACAAAGGCAAACGGTTTAAAAACCAAGCCAACCTTGGTGGCAGGGAAATTCTGCTCAAAAGTGATATTACAGATTCTCTCGACATGCTAAGAATCACATTTCAGTTTCCTGCAATCTATACTGGACCGTGTTTAAACAGTATTTAGCAAGGGCCAATGATGTACCATGTAGGAAAGCGATAAAAAGACTGAATCTTGGAGCAAGAGTCCACCAACGGAGCCCTGCCTTGGAGACAACTGTAGGCAGCCTTTTCCTTTTATTGATAGATACGAAGGCAGAATTACTTTAGAGGTAGCTAGGAAAGCACAGCCTGCTGAAATGAAGGTGAAAAGGAAGAGGTGCAAGATATTAAATTTAAATCATAACCTTTCAGAGAAAACATGAGAGAGCCTGTAACCTTGACTCTGGCATTTTGTGACTTTTAGGCAATCTTAAAAATGGAATTATTTTGCCAAACCGTTAGCACAATTTTTCTTAGGCCCATCCTTACAAAAAGACAAATTGTAGGGAAGACATTTCAGGACGTGAGAATATTTCTAGGTGGAACACAGACATGGAATCCTGCACCAGATACTGCTTAAATTTATTATCAACTTTAATTTTATTTTGCAAAAATTTATATGCCGTCTTTGGTCCAGTGCTGCCACTATCACTGGTTTTTCCACAGTAGTTGCAGCAAACTGCTTGCAAATAAACAGAGTGGTAGTCAAAGCTGCTGGTTTTGCCACCTGGTGTACTCATGAAAGCCCACAGTCAATGGGAATTTAGAGCTCTGAAGGGTGTGCCCAACTTGTCATGGTAACTGCTATGCGAGTGGCCAAGTTGGCTTGCAGAACAGAAGGATGACTGCAGCCAAACAGTTGCACTCAAATGACCTCTCCCACCAGTGAATCTTGGGCATGAGATCGATGAGGCAGAAAAGAGGACAATTCGCATCAGTTCTATCAATGGCAGCATACATAACTTAAGCAATTATACTGTGACAGGGAAGTTGTGTGAGGGTGTCTTTTCTCAGTTGCCATTTTGACCGCAGTACACCTGAGCTGAAAATATACCTGAAAAATACCTTATCAGTCTTTTTGGCTATATTTTGAAAACCCCCCCCCCCAAAAAAAAATCCCAGATATATTTGGGGTTTTCTGGGAAGACTGGGAGCCAGGATTGCAGGCTCCCAGGGACTGTTTTTTCTTTTTGTTGTTGTTTCTGTGGCTCTGGATTTCTGTGGGCCTCCCCACTGCTCTTGACAGTTTCAAACTAGTCTTGTCAGTTTCAAGAAGTTGTTTTCCCCTCTCCCTTTGCTGGTGTTGACCTTTATGTTCCCTTCCCATTTTCTTGCACAGAGCTTGGAAAATCCTTGCCCACTTGCTTGGATTTGTTGTGACCTTATGCTTTGAGATCAGTCCTTTTAAGTCTGCAATGCCAGTGTGGCACTGGGTTCTCTGCTGGGCATTCTGCACACTGTAACTGGTTTGTGCTGGGCTTGCAACCGCCCCTCAACTTGGATTTATTGTGACTCTGTGCTTTGATATCGGTTCCTTTAAGCTTGCAGTGCCACAGTGACACTGAACTGGTTGTGCTGGGCTTGAAAAAAATGTCTGTCCACCCATCTGCGTTTAGTCTGTACTGCATGGATTCTGTGGTTTGACGTTAGCCTTCTTTTGCTTGCATTGTCACAGTGGACTGGGTTCTGCTGGGCACTCTGTGACTGCACTGGTACTGCTGGGCTTGAAAAAAATGCCCCCCCCTTTAGTTTCTACTGCAGAGAGTCTCTGGTTTGACCTTAGTTCTGTTGGGTTTGCACTGCCATAGTGGCACTGGTTCTACTAGGCACATTGCAATGGATCTGCTGGGCTTGCAAAAATGTCCCCCCTTCAGTTTCTACTGCAGAGATTCTCCGGGACTTTGCTTCTGTTCTGCTGAGCTTCTATTGCTCTTGCTTTTTTGCTATTTCCCCCCCTTGAATGGAAACAATGGAGGATGGGGGCACCTTCTTTGGGGGGCATAGAATTGGATCCCCTGGTCTAATCTTTTTGAAACTTGGAGGTTCTTCTGAGGAGAGGCACCAGCAGCTGTGCTGCAAATTTGGTGCTTCTTCCTAAGAAAACAACAACAGCCTCTCCAGACCCCCAGATAGATTCCCCATTGACTATAATGGTCCCCATAGGGTATAATGGACCTGAAAAACATTAGGGATTCCTGAAAAATCCCAAATCTGGATACCATACTGATATTGGAATTCAAGAATATTGGGAATGCCAATATTTGTTGAGTCCAATATACTGGAATTAAAAAAAAAACATAATTTTTTTTGTGTGCGCGCACCCTTAGTGCCACCCACTGGAGTGCTTAAGGGTGGTGAACAGTTTGGTAAATTTAGGGGCTGCTTAGCACGATCATACATCAGGGGTACCCAGCCTTTCCGAGCCCTTGAGCATCTCTTGGAATTCTGACACTATACAGTGGGCACAGCCACAAAATGTTTACTGCAGGAGGCAGAATCAGCCACAAAATGTCTGCCACAGCTTACTTTCAGCCACACAGTGAAGATTCTTGTATTGCGGTGGCAGCTGCTGTCAAAGCAATGTTTTTAACAGTCCGCACAGCCACTCAACTCTCCAATGGCCAATCAGAAGCCTTGTTGGACAGAAGCCCCACCAGGTCCTGACCGCTTTCTAAAAACACTTGGGAGGCACCGGGAAAGGTGTTGGTGGGTGCCCTGGCACCATGCTGGAGACCCCTGTCATACAGAGCAAGGAAGCTCAGCATATCACTGATCGTACTTAAATCCTCTCTCATTCGTCTCAAGGTTTTACATTCTCATGCTCTGTTTGGCATCTGCCTTTGGCTAGGTACAGAATGAGGATGAATAGATCTGAGATGAATTTTAGACGAGGCTGAAATAACGGTGGACTGCAGGTTCGCTCACATGCGAAGGAACTGCACCACAGATCCCCTCCCACTGTGGTGTTATTGAAACGGCATGCAGTGGATTCATGGAGAACCTGCACAAACGGGGTTGCTTATGTATAACCAACATTCTTTGGGTACACAGACACATTGCAGCCTTTGCACCTGTGCAATTCAGACACTTCTGGGACTTAAGTGTTTTGGTGCCAACTCTGCCCAGTCCAAGCAGGACGGAGGCCTACAAGGGTGAAGCTGCATCTTCCCCAAAATACAACAGGAGTCCCTGCACACCTGTTGCAGGAAGAAGGATTGCTGCTACTGGGGTAAGCACTGAATCCTTTCCATAGCTAATTTTAGAGGTGGTTTTGAAATAACCAGCAGATGTCTGTTCAGGCAAGCGCTGCCTCACAGAACTCAAAAGGTTTCATGTACTTGGGAGTGTTAACAGAGGCACTCCCTCTTAGAGCTCCTCAGACTGACCTGTGTGCTCTTCTTCCTTTTAAGCACTGAAGGGGAAGGAGACTGACACTTCAGCTTCAAGGGGCTGGATTCCTGGCCCAGAAGCTGCTTTACAGCTGCCAGCTGCAGAGACTTAAGCATCAGGCGTCGGTAAGGAGACGGGCGATGCTGATGCAGAGCAGATCTAACACGCCCGTAAGGCTGATCCCAGAAAGTGGTCCAGAGATGGGTGGGCTGATTACGGTGCGCTTGCGCCGTGAATTCTGAGCGGGGGTGGGATTTGTTTATATTTCTATCCTACCCTTCCCATGAGTGGGCTCAGGGCTGGCTACAGCAGTGATTAAAAATAAATATTAAGCAATAAAAACAATTAAAAGCCGGGCATAGCAACAATACCATGGCAACAATGACATATTCAGGAATCCTAAACTGGGAGTAATTGGTCTGCAGGCGAGCTATAAAGCTCTTGTCAGCAGCAGTCGATCACTAGCAGAAACTGCAGCAGGGAGGCCAATTAATGGATGCCCACCGTCTCACCTGAAGGCCCGGCAGAACAGCCTCTGCGAAACTGGGCTAGGTCTTGCGGGGCCCTGATCTCGATTGGGAGCATGTTCCACCAGGCTGGGGCCAGGGCAGAAAAAGCCCTGCCCCTGGTGGAGGCTAAATGAACGTCCCTCGGGCCAGTGATCCCCGGAGTGCAAGGCTCTCTGGGGCATACAGGGGGAGGGGTGGTCCCTTAGATATGCTCCCCAAAGCAAAACAAATTGTTGTTGTCCCTCCACAGAAGTCCAAGCATTTTTTTAAGGATCGTCCTCCGTGCCATGGGCAAGTGGACCACGAGAGTGTTAGAAAAATATACCTGCAGGACAGAAAATTAGGAAAACTATAGAAACAGAACAAAAGGGTAGGAAAAAAGAGGAAAAGTTAGCGAGATCTCTGCCCTAATTAGACGTGCGCCTTGTGTGAGATGGGTGGAGCTGGCCCCTACGAATGAGCTCTAAAGGTTTCTCAGAACTTCCCTCTGTCAGGGACAAAGCCCATAAAACGTCCTGCACAGAGACGCTGAAGAAGAACCCTGCCACACCACTGCAGTACACGAACTGGCCCGAACTTCATCTGTCACGGCAATTCAGGCACTAGGGAGAGCAATGGTTTTTAAACTAAGTTTAAAGAGACTACACTTCAAAAGGAAAAGTCGATTAATGTGGTTCTCTTCACATTCTGTTCTTAAAATAGTTATGTAGTGAAGTACACCGTGGAAGAAAGAATTGTAGCCTCTGCTTGCCAAAGTAATGAGATGCAGAAATATTATGGATCAGAATTTGCTTCACTGGCTGCTTATGGTAGCAGTTGCTTGACGTAATTAATTTGGAAATCCTAATGTGGTCTTAATGGCAGGAAGACATAAATACATTTGAGCCAGAATATTAAGTGAAATGCAATAGACCCGGGTTGCCATTTTGCAGTTTGCTCCATG